ATTACCTCAATTACACGCTACTATCCTTATGTGTTTGTAAGGTTTAACTGCTAGATCAGTACCATTAACTGTTGCCAGTTGTCGCAAGGAACTGTAAACGTACATGTGAAATACACTCACCAAAATCCGGTATTTTATCTAAAACTGAAATGCCCAATTGACACTGCCATGAAAACAATCCCCCACCATATGATTTTCCTGTGACGGAATTGAACCAACAAGTATATCAGATTCCAGCTCGCAGATAAAGGTCCATTGTGTTTATACGGAAAATGCGTGTGCATACCCACCAACTCTAAAATAAAAACGAGCGATATGTTTCCCCAAAAATATCACAAATGCTCACAATTTCATTTCTACATGACTTAAATTAAGGCAAAGCCGTGTGTGGTCATGGATACTGATATATAGCTATTATGACCACCTGCGCAGACATTGGCTCAATGATTTATTAAGACTAATATATAATTAACAGCTATGTCACTTGATGACTACAGCCAGGGAGAGGCCAGAGGAACCAGACCTTGTATATACATATGTGTAGTCAACAGCTTGTATTAAAACAGAGTCATCTATAAAGGTAAGTGTCATTATCAGTTTTTGGATTTATCGCAATGAAATTGTTGATGTATTCCAGCGTGGTCTCATTAAATCATACAATGTGAGCAGTTCTCGAAATTATGAAAAATGCACATTTTGGAAATGAATTCCCTGACGGAGAAACATTAACGTTCTGGTAGAAACTGTACTAGATCGATATTATTCATTCGTTTTTTTATATTTTGCAAATCGATAAGCCTCTATTTGAGTTATATGGCTTCTTGGCATTTAAAACGTCATGTAGTAGCATCATGATTTGATATGACATTAAGGCAAATATTCCTTGTATTTGCTTCCTTGTTACATGCTGGGTAGTTGGTGGTGTTGCTAAGATCCGTGTTCTAATAACCATATGGTTACAATACGTAAAACCCATTATAGGTGTTCCTCTGTCTTGACATGTACTTACTAATTTGGCATGCACACCTATCGATATTTTATCATATCAATACATTTAATTTAAGGCATATTTTCTCTTCTTGAAGGTTGATACAAATTAGCGATTACGAAATAAGCCCCCGAAAAGTATTTAATATGGAGCCTTGTGGTTAAAATATTTGCTTGTCACGCCGAAGACGTGGGTTCGATTCCCTCCATGGGTACAATGTTTGAAGCCCATTTCTGGTGTCCCCCGCCGTGATATTGCTGGAATATTGCTGAAAAATGATTGAAAAGGGTAGGTGGGCAAATATTAAATTAGCGTTGGAAAATCGTATTTGCCCTTTGTGTATTTATGAATTTGCAGATGAATATCATGTCGTTATGGTGTGTCCATGTTATATTATTTTAAGACAAAGACATCAAAGTTAGAGATAATTATACTTTCATATGTCTTTGAGCTATGTTCGAAATGCAGCTGTTATCTATTGAATCACCTATTGTCGTGGGCCTGGTCTTTGGGTGGATTGGTGTACGGGGAGAAGATAACTATCTGTCTTCGCTGCAAACATGCGCATACTGTAGTTTTGTCATTAATTTGTATTTTGGACTTTGGCCTTTAAAAAATTAACATATGTTTTATGCTTTATCATATAATCAACGTCAGTAAGTTAGTGAAAGCGATGGATAACGTACATCCAAAACGCCAAAGAATACCCACTGACTCACTCACTCAATCACTGGCTCACTCCAGATTACGTTAACTGGACGAACGGGTGTGTCCGTGAGCTAGCTTTGTAATATAGCTGTTATCTAGGTTAGGTTATTGTAATGTTGGGGGACTAGGGTGAGGGAACACTGGTCTCTGCTGCAAACATGTGCATACTGTATTTGTGTTGTTATTTTGTATTTTGGCCTTTGGCCTATATGAAAGTAAACATATGGTTTATGCTATTTCATGTAATCAACGTCAGTAAGTTTTCAGATTTACAGAACGTCCATCGTCAACGCCAGAGAAATCACGCCACCACCCCCCTCTCCCAACACACACACACACAAAGATATACTCACGCACGCACGCACGCACGCACGCACGCACGCACGCGCTCGCTCGCTCGCTCGCTCACTCACTCACTCACTCACTCAATCCATTTGCAGATTACGTTAACAGGACGAATGGGTGTGAAAGAGATAAGTCTATACCACATTTTCCTCATCACGTATCTATCCAGAAACATAATTCAGGTCACCAATATTTTCCGCCATGTGACTTGGCCATATCTGCTATCTATACTGAAATATTTCAGGTTTACCGGAAAGAATAGTTCATGCTGCAAACCAAAACTGTCCACCTTGTGACAGTTGTTTTGTACTCAAACTATGCCATGATAAATTGATGTATTTGTATTATATTGAAATTTGGATTGTGTTATATATATGGTTTTGTGGCTTTTAGTGGACAATGACGTTTCAGGGCTACTCTTGTCTAGCAGGTGAATCACTGAACTAGTTCATTTGTACAAAGGTAGTTTGCTCGGGATACGATCAAAATATCATTCTAAAAAACAAAGATGAAAAAGAAAAAGCCTTGATCACAGTAACGTCTTGTCGATTATGTATACTATTTTAAAGAATTGATACGTTTTTGAGATCATATACTTATAGCGGAGTCAATATCATTCAATGCTTATCACAGAATGGCATTGACATGTCTGAAACAGCTGGAGACAAAAGATGTTCTCGAAACCCAGACAACATGTCAATGTCCCACATGTATTTGTAATTGACATTTACACTAGCCCGTCCATCTCGCCTCCCAGCATCAGGCACGGTTTGAGCCGGCGACCGAAATGAACATGCAACTGGCAGATGCGGGGATTCCCCTTTCGAGATAATGTTAAAGCTGCTGCACAGGGTAAACAAATTACTGGAAGCGATAATATAATCGATCACACTTGTTCCAATGGACCTTATATGAGTAAAATCGCCTATTCCTGCACCTACACTAGCCCTTCCATTTAGTATGTTTAAGTTCAAGATTGCACACAGATCTAACATTTTTTTACCATATTTGTGCACAATTTTATCACAAGAGTATCTCACAAGATTCAAACTGTTTGAAATAAAATCAAAGAAATCTGTTCAGTAACGAAATCTACCTGCAGTGGGTACCTGTGCAGACATTACAATCACCGCCAGGAAAATATCTACATCACCAATTGTCTTGATAACATCAAGCAGGTCCTCTTGGAACAAAGTGATACCACACTTGCAATACATATTTTCATACCTTGATGACCTATCTGGGTTTATATACATTGAACATAACAAAATTGTTTTACCATGTGCAAATGAAGATTTTTCGAATAACACAAAAAACGCATTGAGCCCAATGTGTGCAAGTATTATATAAGGTTTCACAGATTTTTTTACTAAGAAGCACAATTCCACAGGCTAATCGCCCATACTGTGCAGTTCTTACTGCCTTAACACTGTAATAGATATAGTTAAAATATAAGTTTTGGAGGTCAATATCTGATGGGTCAATAATGTCATATCTGTGGAGAAATGAGATAAAGTCATTATCTGATAACTTTGTTATCAAGCCATTCACATTCCAGAATAGCAAAATAACATGGGGGATGATACCTTGACTAGAATCAAGATCACGGGCACGGCCACACCCTTATTTCCCAGTTCCAGTGTCATGCTGAGAGCCCATGTAAGATCGCAGGCGTCTGCGACTATCTTCACTTCGATCCCCTGATTTTTTTCTTGGCGTTTACCGTCTCTAGATTGGTGATTGGGTCCTGTGAAGAGCTATCATTCTGGTTAGTCTGACGCTCGGCTTCCTTTATGAATAGCCTGCTATACTTAAAGTAGCCCACATTATCATCTTCTCTCAAGTTCTTTAACACCGTTCGCTGTTTTATAGCGAGGTCGCTCGAAATTCCAACAGAGTTCTTTTTGAAGTTATTCCTCCTACCCAAGGCCCATACCTTGTCCTCACCGTATAATAGTTTCACAATCATGGATCGAGGTGTCCTGCTTGGTCCTGTTGTGTTCGGTCCTAGTCTATGGGCAACTGCGATGGAATCAATATTAATGGGCGTGTCCCCTGGATCCGAGTTGTTGTTTAGAACTGAACACACATACTCCTTACACTGGCCAACAGTATCGTCAGTCTTCTCTGACAACCCATATTATATCACATTGTTCCTTCGGCTATACTGCTCTTGTTTGTCTATCTCCATCTCCATCTGCTCTAATCTATCTTGCAGCTTTCTCCGTGCATAATGATCTCCCTCAGGGGACCTTTCTTCAACGGTCTCAAATCTCTCCGTCACATCGTCGATATCAACTCTCATACCATCCAACTTAGTTCTAACCCACTCAGACACCGAGACTTCCACTAAATGAAAGTCCGACAACTGGTAGTCCAGAACATGTACTTTAAGTACCCCTCTGACAAGTGTAAAAAGTACGAGAATCTGTACTTTACTAATAAAGTGGTATCCCAAATATAACATTTGTTACTTCAGACAGTAGTTCAACATGCATGAATATGAAATCAGATTAAAGATGCATATGGATATATACCGACACTATTATAACACAATTACACAAAGACAATGCAATCTAAAATCAGTCAAATAAATTAAACTTGCCAACAGAAAACAGCAAAAACATAAAGTAGTTCAAGGTAGGGTTATGACCTATCTTGACATTCTGAAGCTTTCTACGAGGCACACAATGATTTTCAAATCACTATGGTGTGACGTTCAAGCATAAAAAGAACACAAGATAAAATTTAGTGCCCTGTTTCGACAAGCCAATACTCCCCAAGAACTCTGTGTATGTGTACTAGGAATATGATCTAATAATGCATTAAAGGAAATATTGGAAGTATTAGCGTTGACCAATGTACCATCGCTGGCATGTAGATTTGCCTCCGAATATTACATAGGACCACTGTATGTGTAACATTGTATTTTTGTCAACAGAAAGCAGTAAGAATACTACCCAAAGCCATGCTTGTCCCCAGACTACTGTGGATGTTATTCGCTGCAAATACGGTTGCAGGTAAGAAATTCACTTGACAGCTCGCTATGTGTTGTAAATTTAAATCATGTTGTGGTACAGAATTATGTGTCCTAACACAAACGCCGCTGGACAACAATTCAAGTGTGGCGGAACTGTTTGATAAATGAAAAAGACAAAACAACACGTTATGGAATTTATCAACGTAACATGCACTTACCAAGTCATGGAGTTTTTCAGGGTTTTTCTTTCTGAAAATGTTTGAAGTATACATTCTGTATCACTGAAAATGTGCGAAATTATAGTGAGTAATATTTGACTCACTTCAGCAACCAATGCTGGCTCTAAGAGGCGACTAATGGGATCGGATGGTCAGACTCGGCGACATGGTTGATGTATGTCATCGTACCCCAATTGTGTAGATCGATGCTTAAGATTTCAGTCACTGGATTGACCGATCCAAACTCGATTATTTACAGACCACCGTCATATAAGTGAAATTTGCCGATTGCGGTGTTAAACAACAACGTACAAAACAACAAGTGTTGTTTTGTGTGGGTAAAATGGTCTGGGATCAATTACTTTTGACTTTAATTCTCGCATTTTTCCTCACATATCATCAAGCTGTAATTTAGAATTATTACATTGTTAATTTGTAATACAATCTCATCGTGCAGATATAATTCAAAGAAGCAAGTACAGCAAAGTTTAGTTCAACGGATGGGAAGTTGACGCATTTATTTAGTGACGCGGAAGACACGACGCCACGTTTGTAATAGAGTAGCTCTCCGATGTACGGAAGTTTCAACCATTACTCTACGTTGTCAGACCTGCTTACCTTCATAAACAGGGTATTTCAAATTGTTGAGTAAAATGATTGTGAAAGTTGCCTTCCAGTTCGGTTTGAGAGAGAACGCATTAAAGTCATGGTACATTCTTTTCAAACATCAGACGCAACATCGTACAGCAATAATCAATTCATTTCATTCTGGGCATGACAACTTAACGGATTATTTCTTTTTTATTGCACAAACCTGGGAAAGACCGATGCACTGTGACAGATTGCTGCCTGGATGTTTTAATATCTTGAACAGTTTACAAGCAAAAGTGTAAAAAATTGATAACACCTGTTGATTTTTAATACAGTTTCGATACCTCCTCATTACTGAAGAAAACATCAAGCTGATGGTCAATTGCCGTCTTGTAGAACGTAAAAACGATAGCCATTTTAATGACGGCAAGATGGAATTAGCTTGGCATACAATCCGTGACCCACGTGCAGGTACATACGTAAGATCCTGTGACGTGATGTGTTAATTGACATTTATGGATAGCGCTCGAGATTAAGGATCCTGCCCTAAGTGGGGGTTGTGATTAGAGGGGATGTTTGTGAATATATTAACAGACAAAGGAGACAGAATTTCGGCTCACTTTTGAAACATATTGACACAATTAGGTATTTTGGATAAATCAAATCTTACGGTATTTATTAAAATGGTTTGCGCTATAACAATATCAACATGAATTCGAATCTAGAGGCGGGCAACAAAAAACACAATGACAGTATTTGTATCAAATCGAATGGTTTCCTTTCGTATGTGTTTTAATTTTTCGACATTTACAGCAATAAAGTGCGGCAGCCAATTCATCTTTGCACTATTCCCAGTTTATATAAATGGCACTCAAGTGCCTCAGTTCCCTTTAATTGTATATACACGGGAAGGTCAATGTACTACTTGTATCAAAGGTTTCCTTTCTTTTCCTTTTCAAACATTAGGTACAGCAACGTACAGCGGCAATCAATTCATCTTTGCACGATTCCCAGCCTATGAAACTGGCAATGAAGACGCGACTGCTTATTTCCTTTTTATTGCACATACGCGGGAAGGCCGATGCACTGTGACAGAGAGTCACGGGACAGATTATGATATCAAGCTTATTGGAAACAACATTGTCACACAGTTCCATCTACCGACAGACAGAGTGTTAACCCCGGGAGTTGCTGTGGAGGAGGATCGTGCAGTGGAGCTTATTTGCACAACGGAAGTAACTCTGATTGTCCTCCAACAAGCTGTTTCCTATGGTGTAGCCGATGCATTTCCAGTCCTTCCAGTGCAGTCTCTGTCTACAAAGTACATCGTACCATCTGTGCCAAACAACGCTTTACTCGGGGTGGTGGCTATCTATAACAACACAAACGTCACTGTCCATCTCAACTCCACCTGCTCCTACCCCTTTCAGAGGGAACATCTACGGAAGGGGAAGCCAGTTAAGTATAACCCTGCTGCAGGGAGAAGTCCTCCAGATTGCTTCTTCACAGAGTAGTGCTTCCGACACCTGCGATCTGGGAGGGACGGTCGTAGAGATCAGTCATTCAGTTGCAGTGTTCTCTAGCGCTCTCATGTTATGCTATCCTCGTTGGTGTGATGGAGCTTTGAGTCAAGTTTCCCCATTAGAGACATGGGGGACGTCGTTCATTTTGCCGCCGGCTCCTGTCATGGAACAATTCCGCGTTCGAATTACATCGGGGTATAATGGTACCAATATCACCATTGAAGCATTCGATGGAGTCGAGTCTATTATTTTAAATGAAGCAGAGATACACGATGAAGACTTCCGTACTACAAGCGTCACATACATAAAAAGCTCTCAACCAATACTGGTATTACAAATAAGCGGAAAAGGAGGACGTAGCTTTTCTACCATTGTTCCAGCAACTGACGCCTATGGCACTGGCTGTATAATACCAGACATTCAGACAAGTACCATATCGTACACACGCTATGTTACCATCATCACCAGTTCGCACTGTACTTCACATGTAAACGTTAATGGAACATGGACGAATCAGCCAACAGAATCACAGACGTTCGCCATAACAAGCTTTCAACCCAGCGCTGGTTTCCTTGTCATTGACAGTAATTCATCGGCATGTCCGTTTGGCGTACTCGTCACTGGTTTAGGAGCTTTTCGGATGTATGGGTACTTCAGTACCCCAGTGCGCGGTGAGTAGACACGTCATATTGCTCAAAATAAAATGAGCTGACCCTTTATTGTGTGATAATGAACACTTAATATATTAGTTAGGTTTTGAACTATTTAAATAGAAATAGGTAGTTATAAAAACACAGTTCAAGGTATAAATACAGTAACATGGCGTTGTGTTTAACTTTGATGTGTCGAAATTACGCTTTTCTCGAAGAAGAAGCTTGGTCCCTGCATATTAATACTTTTTTCATCATTTTCGGATGTGTCGAACCTGGAATAACTCGAAGTATTTACGTAGGTTCCTTCCACTTGGACACAACGGTGTTTGACTGTACAGGCTCATTACAACAAAAAAGACACGCAATGATATAACTGTTTCAATCTATGGCACTATAATCTTTCCTCTATCTATGGTACTATAATTTGTCCATATACTAATTTTAAGGACATACAACTTTACGTCCTGGTTGTGGAATAACAAACCTCACTGCATCGGTGTTTAACAAATACCTGACGTCACCTGCCTATCCAAAGAATTACGTGAAGTAAGTAATGTTTCGATCAGCAAAACACCATAAAAATTTTTTTATCTGATTATATGTGATATATTGCTGTATTAATTGCAAAACGTAAGGAGGAAAACTGCACGTTTTGTTAATATCGAGAACTCATTTTGTAAATGACTAAACTCAAAGATGAAGTTTTCAATAATATGAGATTCCAAAAAATCCCCATCACGTATTACCAAAACAACAAATTAAATGACATTGAAAAGTGATGAATTGTATATATATTTTTTCTGTTTGGTTAGCGCTTTCAAGTTTAAGAGTGTCTGAAATATAAGCACAGAGTTCACTTCATATTCAGGTAACGTGAAGGTGATAGTGTCCTGGAAAGTTTTTTGTGTGTGTTTAAGCAACATGGAATGTGAATGGACAATAACCACGATGAACCCTTCAGATGTGGTGCGAGTTGAAGTTCTCGTGTCTGACCTTGAGTCGGATGCTAACTGTAGGTCCGACTATGTGAGCATCTATGACGGTACGTAACTGCCAATGTAGACATTGCCTACATCAGGTATGTTATCACACGTATATATTACATATACAATATTGTGCTACAGGTTGCACAATGTATAAGTTGGTAATGTTCATTTTTCTTATACTACCAGCTGCCACTCCCTTATTTTCTTTTGAAACTAAGATATATGTACATGTACGATATTGTGTGCACACAAAGAAAACGCAACATACGGTGTACCCAACTGATTGATATACTGTATGACATCACAGGTAGAAATGTTGATGAACCTTGTCTCATATGTACACATGTTTTGGTATTATTTTAGCTAAAATACATTTGTTGTCTATTCATATTTTAAAATATATCAGGTAATGTCCCATATTGATATTCTCTTTAGAAGGTTTTGATAAAAATATTATTGTAAGGTAAATGCATGCAAAGATATACTAAATCTCAACATGATTGCTTTTGACGTTTAAGTCATCATTGTCACGAGTGTCAGTTTATGAGTTAATAATGAAGTGCAAATGTGTCCAATGTAGTTATAAGATATAAATGTTGATTTCGTAAAAGGTCCATCTCCATCTGACAAAGTCATTCTCACCTGGTGCGGGAATAACACACCGTCTGTACAAAGCACAGGACCTGCTCTCACAATCAGGTTCAGGACAGATGATCAAGACGTGGGGCAGGGTTTCCGACTGAAATATACACAGGTGGCAGCACATGCTTCAGGTAAACTACACAAGGAGAAACGTCTTACTAATTTTAGTTGTATACACATTTTCAAGCTTTCAGTTAGAAGATGTTTCTTCATACTTATCAAAGTTAATTTGTTTGGCCCTTTCATTTACCTGTTACCTGTCCTATATCATATTAACGAAATATCAACGGTATATTAAATTAATGCCAATAAACATGACTACGGAAGTCTCAAGATGTTATTGATTGGGTCATAACATTGAAGGATCTGTTAATCTCACGAGTTTATGTCCTGGAGGGAAACTGAAGGTTAAATAGTTAACTAACCGTGGGTGCATTCTGAAAAATGAACATTCCATGTGTGTCCATTAGTAACAGCTGAACTATAACCTGTCCATATACTAATTTTAAGTACAAACAACTTTACGTCCTGGTTGTGGAATAACAAACCTTACTGCATCGGTGTTAAACGAATACCTGACGTCACCTGCCTATCCAAAGACTTATGTGAAGTAAGTTATGTTTCGATCAGTAAAACACCAGAGAATTTTTTTTATCTGATTATATATGATATATTGCTGTATTAATTTCAAAACGAAAGGAGGAAAACTACACGTTTTGTTAATATCGAGAACTCACTTTGTAAATGACTAAACTCAAAGATGAAGTTTTCAATAATATGAGATTCCAAAAAATCCCCATCACCATATTACCGAAACAACAAATTAAATGACATTGAAAAGTGATGAATTGTATACGTACTTTTCTGTTTGGTTAGCGCTTTCAAGTTTAAGGGTGTCTGAAATATAAGCTCAGAGTTCACTTCATAAACACGGAACATGAAGGTGATAGTGTCCTGGAAAGGTTTTTTGTGTGTTTAAGCAACATAGAATGTGAATGGACAATTACCACGATGAACCCTTCAGATGTGGTGCGAGTTGAAGTTCTCGTGTCTGATCTTGAGTCGGATGCTAACTGTAGGTCCGACTATGTGAGCATCTATGACGGTACGTAACAGCCAATGTAGACATTGCCTACATCAGGTATGTTATCACACGTATATATTACCTATACAATATTGTGCTACAGGTTGCACAATGTATAAGTTGGTAATGTTCATTTTTCTTATACTACCAGCAGCCACTCCCTTATTTTCTTTTGAAACTAAGATATATGTACATGTACGATATTGTGTGCACACAAAGAAAACGCAACATACGGTGTACCCAACTGATTGATATACTGTATGACATCACAGGTAGAAATGTTGATGAACCTTGTCTCATATGTACACATGTTTTGGTATTATTTTAGCTAAAATACATTTGTTGTCTATTCATATTTTAAAATATATCAGGTAATGTCCCATATTGATATTCTCTTTAGAAGGTTTTGATAAAAATATTATTATAAGGTAAATGCATGCAAAGATATACTAAATCTCAACATGATTGCTTTTGACGTTTAAGTCATCATTGTCACGAGTGTCAGTTTATGAGTTAATAATGAAGTGCAAATGTGTCCAATGTAGTTATAAGATATAAATGTTGATTTCGTAAAAGGTCCATCTCCATCTGACAAAGTCATTCTCACCTGGTGCGGGAATAACACACCGTCTGTACAAAGCACAGGACCTGCTCTCACAATCAGGTTCAGGACAGATGATCAAGACGTGGGGCAGGGTTTCCGACTGAAATATACACAGGTGGCAGCACATGCTTCAGGTAAACTACACAAGGAGAAACGTCTTACTAATTTTAGTTGTATACACATTTTCAAGCTTTCAGTTAGAATATGTTTCTTCATACTTATCAAAGTTAATTTGTTTGGCCCTTTCATTTACCTGTTACCTGTCCTATATCATATTAACGAAATATCAACGGTATATTAAATTAATGCCAATAAACATGACTACGGAAGTCTCAAGATGTTATTGATTGGGTCATAACATTGAAGGATCTGTTAATCTCACGAGTTTATGTCCTGGAGGGAAACTGAAGGTAAAACACTTAACTAACCGTGGGTGCATTCTGAAAAATGAACATTCCATGTGTGTTCATTAGTAACAGCTGAATGTACCATGATTCAGTATTCAAGTATTCGTTTATTCAATGTGGAATGTTCTTGATCGCCCGTAATTTGAGGTATCCTGACCAACATTTCATGAAGTGCAAGGTCCCATATAGCTTGGCTTGGACAGTATGTGATGCTCAAATAAGGAAAGATGAGTGCCAACTTTGGAAATGTGTTCTGTCGCTGCTAGTATGCTCATGTGCATTGACAACTTGGCAACATATAGAAACCTGCAGATGATAGAAGGATAGGCGCAATTATGGTGTCGTGGCAGTACTGTTCTGCGACCTTCCGACTGACAATGTCTAATGACTTTCTGTTTGTCATGGTAATCCCAACACATACCATAATTGAACAAACGCCATTCCTGTTACGCAGACAGCCGTCTAGTGCCACGTTGAAATAAAAGCGACAATACACAAATATCTGACATGACCAGAGTCGAATGTACAATTCTGACAATATCATGAACATGCGTCGATGAATCAAAGCACGATCATGTCAATCAAGGAAGTCTCGGGTACATTTAGATTCGTCTGAACCATCGAATATTCCTCCGGTGTATATAAGTTGTCTATACTATTGGAGTCGGGCTGAAGTTTTACTATTATACAAGCCCATAGAGTAAGCAGATTATCACACAATGCCGCGATTTTCAGGGGCCTGCCTCGAAACTAAAACACAGGTAGCGCTGTGTATGTAGTTGGTTCTGAAGACTCGTGGTCCTTATGATACGACCTTGGAGATGTGTTGTAGATCTAGGGCGTCCTAACCTGGGTGTATTTTACGACCCGTGTTGGCGGAATCTGCTCCACAATCTGCTGATGCATGTGACATATTAGCATGCCTATAACCTTAACACTTTTCATGTAAAGACGTCTCAATGCTATTGTGGACACCAAAAGATAAATGTTAAAGCGTGTTTAATACAGTCGTGTATTATTCACTGCCAATATAAATGTGTTAGAAGTGTTTCCGGTATAGGTGTCAGGGACCATCTTCTGATGCATGTAAAGTGGAGTACATGTACATGTGTTTAGTTATCAACAACTGACCATACGTCCAGTTGTACTATCTCTGGATTGCAACCGTTTTTCGTTTGTTTCTGAAAAAATCGTAAATAGGTTTTATGTCATTGTTTAACAGGATATAATTCAGTTTATAAACACTTGCAACTACTTTAGTACTGTAAAACACAATGTGTGCATGACTCTAAACTTTGAAAGTAACATTTTGAGGTCCCTAATGGAAATTGGAAAACCCCACTCAGAACATTCCGTAGACACAGCCACTATTATTTTTGAACGTGTATTGTAGAACTCCTGTCAGATGACAGTTCAACCTGGGAGACGCCAGTTATAGCAATACTTGGTACACTACTCGTCTTGGCTGCCATCACTATGCTGATTTGCATCCTCTACATCAGAAGGTAATAACCACGATCACATGGTTTTACATGCAGAGTACTAACGATTACTTTAAGTAGAAAGTAGCAACGCGTTGTGTTGCTTTATGCTGATTAACAGTATAATGTTGTCTCAGCAGAAGGCTGTGAGAGCTATTTTATGGTAACATATGGACGATCCAATAACGACAATTGGTGAACGACTAAATGACCACAAAATCCACTTTATTTAGTGTAAATAACACAACAACTAACAGCTAAAACAATGTTTTCTCTTCTGTTGATTTACCGATTGCATTGATGCTTACCTCGTGAATGTGCAAAAGATGCTGATCAAATCATATTTGATCCAGTACTTCGAACATGGCAATGAACAACGTTATTAGCACCGTCCTATTCACGTACATGGAAACTTATTACTTCAATGCCAAGAAATCATTAAACGATATTGATGATTAAACATATCAAGCGTTATATCTTATGATATTTCAGATTGAAAAAGGAACTGACCCATGCCTTAAGAAACAAGAAACCTGAAGATAATTACATATCTTTAGATGAAACGACCAAGGAGCCAGTTGTTGAAAGTACATACCAGAACATTGGTCGAATGAGTCCTTATGCAAACACAGACGACGGCCTTCAGGGCAGAATTTGAATTAACATTAACGCTTCGGGTTTGTCGATAGACACTGCTACTATAGACGAGAGCACATGGGCATACATTTTGGAAAATTAATTCTGTGATTCCCACTGTTGGTGGTGTGTATTTATCTTTATATATGTTACATATTCATTAATACATTTTCTTTTAACATAATGAGTGGCGGGTGCTACAGGCTGAGCAGGACATGGTTGCCCTTTTTGCGAAAACCTGGTGTCATCACTGAATTTCAGGTATCCATTCATCAAGACTGTTTGAATCTGTTTGGGGCGGATAATCGAGACTGGTTATTGTACTATGCAATACAACTATTATAATTGTAGGCTTGCTTTCCTAAAGCTGTGAATAGAGATGACCATTTTCTTTATTGAAAATGTTTAAATTATATTTTATATGGTTATGTATATTTCCACTGAAAAGATAGCTTGTAAAGTTTACAGATGCAGTTGTTTATTTTCGGTTTGATTCCTTTAATTCCACATAGATAGTTTGAAAGTCTAGTAGCTTAACGTCTTTAATTTTATTTCTGTAGCCAGTAAAGATGTTATTCCGAGCGTATAAGCCTGAATCATTAGAAATCTTTATAATTCTATTATTTTTGTTTATACATGCTGTTGTTAACCCAATTTATTAACCGCCTCCGTGGTCTAGTGGTAGAGCGTCCGCCCGGAGAACAGGGTCCGGGGTTCGATCCCCGGCCGCGTCATACAAAAGACGTTAAAAGATGGTACTTGTTGTTACCCTGTCTGGCGCTCGGCATTAAGGGGTTAAAGCAAGGACTGGTCGGCTCGGAATCAGCATACTGTGTCTGAGTGGGGTATTCATGTTAAACTGCGACATGGTATCTCAGTGTGCTAGCACTATAAATCGACATCAGTCCGGTCTAGTACAAGCAGACACACACACACACACACACACACACACACACGCACACACACACACACACACACACACACACACACACACACACACACGTGCATGCTCGTCGCTATATAAGTGCAATAATCTTGGACGCGACGTTAAACCCCATTTCACCTCACCTCACCCAATTTATTATGCGATGTATTTTTGAAATGGTGATGCAGAAGTCGTAATGCAGGTTGAAATTTAAGTTCTTCCACATTTTCTAATTCAAGTACAAGTATCTTTTTTTGCAAAAGGTGTTCCAGGCTTTTTAATGCATTCTTCCATTTGCACGTAAGGTGCGTATATCTGTAATAGGAATATTGGATTAGAAAAACTCGAAGTTGATCGGTATTTTTGTGATTCAATAAATGATTTCAGATCAGCTATACTAGGACAACCTTCTTAATACTTTCTTATTAAAATGCTTCTTTTAATCTTAACTATTTTATCATTCCATGTATATTTGTAAACATCTTTGTAAATAGATACGACAAAACACTTTCGGGGGTTGGGCAATGAAGAGAATAATTCTTTAACTACTGTACTATCGGAGTAAGTTTGTTTTTCCTCCAAGTTAACTGTAACCTAAACATGCCATCTAATTTTGTGTGTGTTTATTACCCAATGTAAATTGACTTGCCTAAATAGTTTCCATGTGTTTGTGGCGATGCCACCCAGGGGCAGGATGCGAACACCTGGTATCATCACTATTTGATTGTGATTCATTAACACATGCTCATGATGTAGTCAGAATCGTACAATCGAGATATATTATGACTATGGAGATGCTTTTATCGCTTTTATTTAGATCTGGGTTACATTTAATGCCAAGTGATTTAAATTTAGTTACATGCCAATTAATGCTTAGTTCCATACATATTTTGTCTGAGCTACCTGCCTTTGAACCTATCCACTTTGCTTTTGTTTTCTATTTTAAGTCGGGACATTTTATAAAATGTATTACGTGTTTCCATTGCTGCATATAGACTTTCGTCCATGTGTTTCATCAGTATACTTTCTTAATTTACGTTCTATGTTTAGATATACAATTCGTTTTATTTGGGGGGTTTTCGTCGGAGATATAGATATTGTGGATCACCAAGACTACAACCCCTTTCATAAGTAAAGAAAGACCGCCTCCGTGGTCTAGCGGTAGAGCGTCCGCCCGGAGAGCGGAAGGTCCGGGGTTCGATCCCCGACCGCGTCATACCAAAAGACGTTAAAAGATGGTACTTGTTGTTACCCTGTCTGGCGCTCGGCATTAAGGGGCTAAAACAAGGACTGGTTGGCTCGGAGTCAGTATACTGTGTCTGAGTGGGGTATTCATGTTAGACTGCGGCATGGTATCTCAGTGAGCTAGCACTAATAATCGACATCAGTCCGGACTAGTACAAACAGCCACACAAACACACACACGTACATGCACGTCGCTATATAAGTGCAATAATCTTGGACGCGACGTTAAACCCCATTTCACCTCACCTCAACTCATAAGTAAAGAAATGTGATAGGTGTCCATTTCGGATCACTCATGATTAAGTATAAGAGGTTAACATGTTTATCCATTTCTGGACCAAAACAAAATTTCAGCAAAGCCTTGTTGAAAAATGCTTAGAGACGTATGAAAAGCTTTTTTCTGAATACTTTAACAGGAACAATCCTGATTGCTTAATCTCCCTCCTAGTTTCCAACATAAGGTCATCATTACTATCCTTGCATTTACATAGATACATCTGTAAGGAATAAATACAGTTCGATCTTCATGTAAGAAACATTCCAATGCTACTTTAATACAGTCTGATGTTCTTGTCGCTAATAATTCAATATAATTAAATGCATTTAAGAGGGTAATTGGACTCATGTTTGTTAGGAGTTTTCAATAGAAGGCCTTTCAGTATTTACGTATTTTTATTGCAAATATATTTTCTTCGCAAACATGTTTTGACGTCACTTATTTTCAGTGACCCTTTCATACAACGTTAACCACTTTGTTAGTACGCTCAAATGAATCACTGGTGTTGGTATTTTTTTTGTGCATTTCTTGAAGATCTATTTCTTTTTCTATGTTTTTACTTGTTTGATTTTCTATTTTCGGGGTATTAACAGCTTTTAGGTCAGTTACATTTTACTCATAATGTTTTTCGGCAATTTAAAGGTTTTTGTTGGTATATGTAATTCACTGAATAGTAATTTTCAATCTGTAATTATGCTATTAACAACATAGGTCTTGTTTTCTAGATGGCAGAAAAATTTGTTTGTTTTTCGCCTTCTTCAAACCATTTCAGTATGTATTGTTTTATTTCTATACCTCTAACTCCTTAATTTGTTGCATTTTTATTTTTTATTTTGATAATTCTGCTAGTTGACATTTTTTCTGTTTCTTTTTGTTTCTAATTGTTTTGTCACTGATACTTATTTTAAGAAGAAATGGATATTCTTTAACTCTAGGGGCGGTCGGGTAGCCTAGTGGTTAAAGCGTTCGCTCGTCACGCCGAAGACCCGGGTTCAATTCCCGACATGGGTACAATGTGTGAAGCCCATTTCTGGTGTCCCCCGCCGTGATATTGCTGGAATATTGCTAAAAGCGGCATAAAACCATACTCGCTCACTCACTCACTCTTTAACTCTAACTTTGATTAGAAAGGTTTCTAGTAAAAGACAATAACTAATTTCAAATTTACGTCTCTACCATTTCGTACTGCAATCAGTTGTTGTTGTATTTTCTGAATATCCATCTTCAGTTTCTTATGTTTGTATGTTATTGATTAAAAAGAAGGGAATTGATCAATATGCAGAAACCACACCCTCATTCTTGACAATGTATATTTGCGTAGACTATAATTATAGAATAATGTCATTCGAGAATGATCTGATTTCTGTCCAGGTAAAATAGTTCATTTTTATGTCGTATTAAATATACCACTGTTGTTTTTTCCACCATGCATATTTATACAGGGAGCCCTAAATTAATTCCTCCTTATATCCCTCCAATAATAATCCTTGATATTGTCTAATACAAATTCGTTGGCTTTAGGTTATCTTAATATTTTAATAGTTTTCCAAGTCCACGAGTGGGTTCAGTTCCATTCACCTAATATAACAACAAATCCATTAACAAAATTATATATATTTCCAAATTAAAAGTTGAAAAACAGATTTACATTCTCCACATATATATAATTCCTTTCCTCTTCCTTTTATCAACTAAATCTCTACAGCTGGTTGAAAATATTTTGTTCTTTAAGCCATTGTCAAGTAATGTTAAGTCACATGTAAGCATTTGGCCATTCAATATACTCGTATGTACATTGAAAGATATTTAATGTAAATATGTGGTAATATTTCTCTGTTCAAGTAACAACGTAATAAACAAAACAAGATGGTATTAAAACAACCGAGTGTGGCCCAAGTGACATGGGCAACTCATTTCAAATTGAGTGTTATTGCAATAGTGGGATAAGTCTAAATCAGCACGATAAGCAAGTTCAGGATGATCAGCAAGTCCGGCTAATACCTATTATATTAGACATGATAAATTTCCTTCACGAAGCTGTTTTATAGGTACAGCCAGCCTCCTAGAAACGGTTGTATGCCGAAACTTCTCGAACGATCTAGCCTGTCATGTTAATGGGTATTTGATCACTCTTAATTACTCTCACTGCCGCCAACAGGCGTACGAATCTGGCCATGACAGCAGTAGTATAGGTAATGGGGGTTCTGGACCACTTCCACTGGAGCCAGATTCATATACCTATACTGCTACTACAGATGGAATTTTTTATGCCAAAATGATTATGCGATTTAACGATAGTCATGAGATTGGGTCTAGCTCACCAATACCTGGGGCCAATCATTGCTTTAGATGAGTCTAAATGGTAATAAAAATATTCTTTATTATTTTTATCGATAAAGCGATATTCAACATTTTTATTAAGTTCTTCGTTCATTTTACTAGGAGACCAGACTATATAACTACACTCTTTTTGTAAATTGATAAGAAACAATTGATAACCGTATTTGGTTGGTTTGACATCACTGATATAATAAAAACCTTGTGGTAATTCTTTCCATTGAATAGCTTTCTCCATTATTATATATTTATGTAAGCATTTGTCTAAATGTGATCAAACGATAGTAAGCAATCTATTTTTAATCTCCAACCAGTTCTTTGGTTTTGGCATGGAATAATTGACGCGCTTGTTGCCTCCCCTCTTCTATGAACTTTTTTTTCTCGTCTTCGCTAATACCACTG